AATAAATGCAATATGCAGGGTAGCAAGGCTTAGTTTTCTGTAACGTGCATTATGCATATACTGTGAAGTATATATAGATTCAGCCGAAGTTCATACACGATTGCACGTGTTTATATGTTGATTGCACGTGCAATCGTGTTTATACACGATTGCACGTGTTCAATGTGTGTGTTGCCCACACACATTGAATGGAGCTCGACAGGTGGCACACCATCGCCAATCAGGACTACTTTCTTCAAGTACTGTGTAATTAGTGCATGCTGATATCTATTAGTGCAGTCTAAAAGAATACTGGCACCCCTGCAATGGGCACTCAACACCCTTGTGCATCCTTTTCGCACCCACCTGATTCGGTGTTAAAAAAGTGGAGGATAATTAAGGCACCTCTTTCAAGGGTGTTATTGTAACACCCTACAGTTTTTACATGTACACCTTTTTTTAAAGATGTATGGAAAAACACCTTTTTTGGAAGGTGCTGAGTTGACACATTTTCGGTGTCGTCCGTGATACAAGACCATTTATACCCTTTTGGGTGTAACAATTTTTATTGTGCACGGTGTATTCTCCCCAAGTGAGTGTATGGACAGAACTTCTCAATAGAACAGTAACAGGCATGTTGTCGATGTAAGTCACCGCAGAGCATCTAACTTCTAACAGAATGTTGGTTTTTTTTCTATTTTATTCAAGTGCAAAAAAATAACACTACGGAAAGATAGGAGTAAAAACATTCATGTCTGACGAGGTCCTCCCAGCAGAAACAACAACAGTTTGTACATACGCATTGACAACAAAAGTGGAAGCAACTAAAAAATTCACGTATGAAAAGTAGTCTTTCACGTACAACGTTGAATACATATAGAAAGACAGAATAAAAATTTACAAGTAAATATATAATCAAACGTATTATTGTTGACGTGGTTATCGTACACAACGTTCACAAGCATTAAGGCGTTGCAGGAGATTATACGAAGACACCTTTCCAACTTGTTTTTGGCCGAACAGTTACCACACCGCTAGATGCAATGCTACCTGTCGATGACAACACCGACCACGACCATAACACTAGCGACTTCACGCAAACAGTTGAAGAAGCGAGGCAGCTGGCGCGACATCATATTCATCAGCAACAAAAATATGATGCTGATTGGTATAAATTGTGATGAAGAGACGTCAAGTACGCTCTTCAGGACCAAAGTATGGGTATGGACACTCGTACGCGAACATAGGCTCTTCGAAAAGCTACTTCGACGTTATTTTGGCCCGTACAAATTGCTTCGCCAGCTTGGTTCTTTGAACTATGAAGTTGTACCAAGAGCAAGTAACATCATCGAGATGGCGGCATCGCGCACAAACTGTGCGCGTCATCTGAATGCAGCCATACCACGAAAGACAATCAGCCATCAAGCAAGACTGCTGGAGAATGCCAGGTACTACCGGTAATAGCTATAAATACCAGCCTGGACCCTAAACAACCTTCCGGACGATGCACTCTCGGGAGGGGGATTATGACGCGAAATAAAGTACCCTCGTCAGCCATTGTACGCCCTCCATGTTGTCTGTGGCATGCGTGCGAAACAGACAAAGCGAAGCGCCCATGAACAGTGCCAGGATGAACGCTGCGAACTCGGGCACGTACGAACTGCGCGAGACAAGAAGATAGAATGCAGAAAAATTTTCTTGGGCGCCCACGGAATCGCATGCGCGGCGCGGTTGCGTAGTTACAATTGAGCGCATGCATCTGTGTGTGACCCGCGAAATCTTTTATTATCCGTCAAGCGTGTGTCCAGCAGATAATTACCGATCTTGCCTTTACATACCTGAAGCCCTTGCAAATTTTCCGTATCGTTTTGCCCGAGATGAAGCCTTGCACACCAATCAGAAGTGAGAATTGTGAGCAGATTTTATTCGGATCCTACAGATCACAACAAACTCATCTGGAAGAGCTGCACCTTTCCTGATGCATTAAAATTCATTTGAGCAAATGTGAATATGTCGCTTGAGAAAACGTCGCTTCAAATTTAAAATTTTTGTTTACAGTAAGCAACCCCAGCAATTGCAGTTGCCACTGTTCATTCATATGCTGCTTTTATGGTGCCTTCCATGTTTATGTTTGCGCGTTCTTCGTCGCAAACGTTTTTTTTATTGTTCTAGGATGCATGATACGTGGTTCAATATTAATTTATTCTCGTCAAATAGTTCAATAGTGCCTTATTATTTAAATACTTTCGGTAACTGAGTGCCAGCTTCTACAGAGACATCTCTGTATTGGATGCTTCAACGAAATTGGCCTACACAGCTGTAGCGCACGTTGAGTTGCATCGTCTGATAACTGATGCTAGCGCTGACAAACAACACCAACAAAACAAGGCACACTCGAGGCAACACCTAGCGTTGTGTTGTCTCAAATTTGCCTTTTTTTTTGTACCGTAGTACCATACCAAAAAGCCCAAATCCACACGCTCATTGCATCGTCTGCACTCACACACATGCACGAGTTAACATCCAGATACCTTTATAACTCGCTGAATTCATCTAAGACAGAATATTGGCATGTTCGAAAACCTAGTAATAGCTTTGAGAATTACTGGGTTACCGGACTGTGGCACTGAAATCGTATGGCGCTTTGTGCAACCACAATGTGTGCTCCGTTCTTTTCGCTGAGTCACCGGGGCGAAAAAGAAATGTTTAACAAAGAAACTCATTCGGAATTGCTTCCCTACCAGGAATTTGCATCAGCAGAGAAGCAGAATATGGTAGGTTTCTACAGCAACAGTTGTCTGCTTCCCTGGCTCATTTTAACGCCACCAAGTCTCTCCATCTATTCGGTCTCACGTTTATGGCTGCAATAACCAACTCTGCTAACTCTGAGAAGTGTGCGAACAACACAGTGAAGTTATCCCTGTGATCGCCTTCACAAGTAGTGATATCATGCAAAGTACAATGCCAAATGCGAGCAATTCGGCTATCGGAAAACACGTTGAAAGAAAAATAAGTGTGAGTTGGCAGCCAATGCTCCCTTCGCTTTCTGGTGCAGCTGATTTCTTGGTTACCGCTGATTGCACGTCGCTTAAATATGATAAGGAGTACCTAAAGCTTTCGTTACACTTCCTACACGGTGACCCCGGCATCAGTAATCCCTGAAATTGGATCTAGATAATGAAATTAAGCGTTTAGGCTCACCTTGGAAGCAATAGTAAAAGAAACCTGGCTAATCCCTCTTCGGTATAAAACGGTCCTGTGCTTGTTGGCCGTAGCAAAGACAGGACCAAGTTGAGTGGTGGAATATAGGAGAGGCCTTTATCCTGCAAAGGGCGCGGTCAGGTTGTTGTGTTGTTGAAGATGATGATGATGGTGGTAATGATGATGATGATGACACGAAAGCAAAACTGCGATTCGGTCTAGTTGGAACGTATCCATCCTGAAATTTTTGCCCAAGCACGCAAGGACTCAGAAAGGAAGTTTCTTAGTCCATGTCTTAGTCCCTGTGTGCTTGCGCAAAAATTTCAAGATGATAACACGAAAGTGAAACGTGTCTTCACAGATGTTGAGCATTTATTGTGCATTCCTTCGCCACAAGGGCAAAAGAGTGCATGCTACAGCAACAAATTGCAAAGTCGCACGATGAATGGCAAGCAGTTCGAAACTTGCAGCGCGCAACTAAGCACGCACATAATGGGCATACACAGGACTAGTGCGAACTAGCTACTGTCACAGCTCGACACTTAAAGCACGCAGTTCAAACTAAAAAAAAAGACGCATAAAACGAACGCACGAGTGGGTATAGTAAAGATAATTCTTACTTGCTCGTTTGTGAGCAGTGTGCTCCTTTCGTAAACGCTGCCGCGGCAGTGAGTGAATCGACCTTGGTGATTTCCCGAATCACGAGTCTAAAAAGCACGCGTGTAGGGCAAGATCATGCTACGCGGAAGTGACGCTCACCCACACGCAAGAGGTGACTACCTTTATAGCTCGCCTAACGCGATACCTTCGCTCCATTTCGCTACTGGCGACGAAAACGTGCTAAAAATGCGGAGCTCTGACTGCCAAATGGCTTACGGTGTATATAAATAGCTAGCCGTTATCAATCTACCCAACGCACGCTCCATGGCCTAACGGCTAGCACAGCGCGCTGCAGTATATAGGAGAGGTCTTTGGTTCGACGCGCCACAAAAGCCTTTCATTCATCTTTCTTTCTTTCTTTACAATCTGTTAGTATATATTTTACAACGCCATGTCCGTGATGTAAGTACGTCACCATACTTCCATCACTAGGAAGGGCTTCAAACTGGGCTTGCATTGGAGCCTGACTTGAACCTGGTGTTCTTTCTTCACTTTAGTTCTACAGCATACCCCAAAGCACCGACATAAAACACTTTTGTGTTAATCTATTCTGAACGCTCGTTGTGCCAAACACTTCGTTCTGAGTGCTTTTGCGTACAGATGGAGCCTACAGACGGCTTCTCGTAGCTTCAAATTTGGTGGCACTCCCTCTTTAGGCTGTTATTCCCAGCGATCTAGGCGCACGGTGCTGGCATAACGATCTTTATGGGCGACGAGGCACGAAAGGAAGGCGTCCTCGATCTGTACGGTATATGCTGCAAAAATGTGACCTACTTGATTAGAATCATGGCTGCAGGTGCACACAGCTTTTGCAGAGATGAAAATCCAATTGCAGGGAGGATAGCGAAGAAACAACTGATCAGGCAGTTTTATAGTGGACCCGCTAAAGTGGTGTAGTGGTTATTTAGCACTCGGCAGCTGACCCCCAGGTCATGGGACCGAATCCCGGCCACATTTTCGATAGAGCTGGAAGTGCTTAAAACCGGCCCTTATATTTAGGTGCACGTTAAAGAAGCCCAGGTGGTCTGCATTCCCGGAGCCCTTCACTATGCCATCTCAAAATGCCATAGTGGCTTCAGGACGTTCAACCCTAACAATTACTATTATTAGTTTCATAGTCGTGAACTTCATAATTCAGTGAATTTCTCCTCTCACGGCAGGCTTCAATGGATCCGTCGACGAAACTGGCTCAGAAGCTGGGCTGCGACGCCACCAACAGCACTACATGGTTTACTTGCTTGACGGGCGTGCAGCTCGACAAGCTCCTGTCTACCGCAGCACAAATGGACATGCGCTTCGCCCCGGAGTGGGATCCACTGTATATTATCTTTGGAACCTCCGTGAAGAAGCTGCCTCCCATCAAGGAGGCAATCGCAGGCGCGGACTCCGCACAGGTTCGCAATACAAATATCGACATACTGTTTGCTCGCATGAAGCCCTTATTATTTTTTGCGCTCGTCGGATTACCAGGCGGTTAGACAGCGTGGTCCATGTTAAAGATACGCAAAGGCACAGACAAGCCAGAAATCCCGCATTTGCCCGTTCTCTAGGCCTAGTTCATGCAGGTCATTCAGTTTACTATGGACCGGGGAGGGCTTCAATTTGGGCCTGCATTGGAGTCTGACTTGAGCTTGATGTTCTTCCTTCACTTCTACAGCATACCTCAAAGCACCCGCTGTGTAACATCAAGGTGTTTGTTTTATGGCTTGCCTGGGACTTTTTGGATGCATCGTGGTGGTTGTCAGTTGGTTTTTAAACCATAATAATAAATGCAATAAAGTGAATCTGATGTGTAGTCGTATTACGCATGCACCAGTAACTTACATCACACAGCATACGCGACACTGCGTGGTGCAGTCGCGCTAATCACATTCAAGAGTAAGGGGAGGAGATGCTAGCGGAGATGCGCATACGCACTACATGAGGTGTTGGTACATCGCATCTATCGCGAGCGTGTGCGCGATAAAATAGCCTTGCGAGTTTCGCAGTTGAAAGCAATTTCAAAATGAATTTCATTGTAACTGCCAGCGTTCATGGCTGGAGTCCACGAGGTCGATGGGCAGCAGTCAAGACCTCAGATCTGGGCCATTTACTTTCCATTATAAGTACGTCTCCGTCTCAGACTACATACCTGTATGACCAATACGTATACGTATTGGTCATACAAGAAAAAATGCCGCCATATCCACGAAGTGAATGATGATGAGTGGGCGAAGCTCCGGAGGTAAACCTGGTAAACCATGAATCCTCCGTACATTTTGCCCGCTCGATTTTATTGCAACGCTCCCCCTAGCGTACGTCGCCGCACTATATCGAACGATGACACGCGCCATATGTGGCATCATTCCTATTTTATAACACCTCGCATCTTTCATAATCAACTACACGTACCACCGTCTAGTTTATAACATCTTGCATCTTTTGGACGGACGGACGGACGGATGGACGGACGGATGGACGGACGGATGGACGGATGGACGGATGGACGGACGGACGGACGGACGGACGGACGGATGGATATGGCTGTACCCTTTAGATCGGGCGGTGGCTAGCGTAATACTTAGAACTGAACGAGAGGTGGCTACATACAGGGGACGCACAGCCCACGACTTAAGGAGCTTCGCTCCTAATATGCAGCATGTGGCGAGATACACACCTCGTATGGCGAGGACATACAGCCGGGCCAAGGCTGTTCGCCTGCATTTTACTGTCGGGCCTGTTTGTCAAGCCCCATTCCCGCACCGAGCGTGACTGAGAAATTCGGGGCGTAACATATTTTTTGTCTGTGTGAACAGACAAAGCGGTGCATCATCCCCTGTTCGAAAATGTGCTGCTGCACTGTGCACTGTAATGACAGAACGTTATTTTAATAAAATACTTTCGAAATTTGCTTTAAAAAATAAACCCTTCATGAATTTTAAAAAAATAAAAGGATCTTTTCTTTTTCATTCCTAGACACAATATTATTCAGAAGCACAGTTCTAATTCTTGCACCCCACCACGGTCTACTGGTTAAGTTACTCGGCTGCTGACCTGCAGGTCGCGTGATCGAATGCGGGCTGTGAAGGCTGCATTTTCGGTGGAGGCGGAAATGGTGTAGGTGTAGGTCCTGTGTGCCCAGATTTGTGTGCACGTTAAAGGACCCAAGGTGGTGGATATTTTCGGAGCCCTCAACTACGGCGTCTTTCATATTCATATGGTGGTTTTTATGAGTTAAACGCCACATATTTATCAATCAATCAGTTCTAATTAATGTTGCACTAGATGTACAAATAAGTTTCGCATCACTGTTTCCGCTTCAAAGGAAAAGTAATTACATAAATGACCAACGGCTAACTATACAAGTAAGGTTCAGTTGCTATCAAAGCGATATAGCCAAGCATTTTACCAAGGCGTTGATGATCCTGACAAAGTTGGTTATGATGACTCAATGACGAATAATTTAACGTCGCAAACAAAAAATTGTAGCCAGCTGTATTCATGTCGCCGTCAGTGATGATGCTGGCAAAGCTTCCACCCTGACTCGCCTGAGCATTTTTATGGCGAAGAACGAACTGACTACACTGAAGCTACTCTTCAAGAACTTGCTTTTAGGCGAGTTTGTGCCTTAGTTTGCTTAACACTGGCGCTATGCTAAGAAAACAAAAAAGTAGGGAGGAAAGAGACTGACGGGCGCCAAACTGCCAACTGTTTACTGCCAGTACAGCCTTAAAAACAGGTAAGCCTCTACCTGTACGAAGTGGAGTGAAAAAGTTACCACACACATGCCATCACGTCTCACGTCAGCAGTTGATTAATGAAGGAGAACTGTAACTGATAGAATACAATAGACGTGTAACTGACACAAGGGATGCATTACTTCGAATATAATAGCCTCTAGCAGTTCCCCTGCTTTTTCGTCTCTGCTTTTGCCAATATTCCCTATGATAATCCCAGCTTGCTCAAAACGTGGCACACACTAGCATGACGTGACGTGCTCAGGAAGATGCGTAACATCATTTTAGCACTACTATTGGAATGCTTCCTGAGGCGGTCGTTAATACGCCGTCCCGTTTGTCTAATGTACGACTTGCCACAGCTTAGGGTATTTTTATAAACAACACTTTCGGCACACCGCCTAATGAGTTTGAAATGCCTCTTTTTTCACCCTTGCTGCTTAGCACGAGAAATTTGGGGGCACATGTATGCCAGCTTATTCAAGGCGGAAAACAAAATGAGGGGTCATTCTAGACGCCTAAAGCCCCACAGGAAGAAATAATCACAGAGAAAGAGCGTCAACTCGCAACTGATTTATTTGCAGGAGAAACGCAGGAAATATATAGCCGCACACGCATGTGCAGAGCACACTACTTCACCTAGTCACATGACCACAGACAAACTGATGACGTTCAACCAGCATATCTAATTAAACAACGAAGCGCAAAAATCAAACTCAGACTTGCGCAAGACAACTGACGTGTCACTTATACACAAGTCACCTTTTTTATTTATCCAGAACGCTTCCATTATTTCACGGGCCAGAGCATCTGGGCTTTTGGCGAGGACAGAAACGCTTGAAAACCTCGCCTCAAAAGAACAGGAACGGCAATGCGCAGGCAAATGTGCTCCGGGATTATTTCGAATAGAACGCTCATGTTCCCTAATTCTCACGTTCAAACACCGCCCAGTTTGGCCGATGTAAACCCGGCCACAACTAAGTGGGATTAAGTACACCACACCCACTACGCAAACCACATACATCGAAACGTGTGTTTTTGCACTGAAGAACACTGACAGGGTTGCTTGCCTGGAGGTGCTAATAGCCTTAGAAATTTTTTAAAGTTTAAGATCTTTACATAGCAGAATAGCTTTAGCCTTCACCTTGCTTGCTTGTGACGTCGTTGGTACGAAGTTCTTCTGTAGAGCTTGAATAGCCTTTTCACCAAAGGCTTTGGCTGTCAGTACCACGAAACCACCTTCCTTGTCACCTCTCATGAGCTGTAGATGGTTCCTCCGAAAGTGCGTGACGACAGCCTTAGTAGGGTCCTTAGGGTGAAGATGCGTTCGCTGAACGTTCTTCAAAAGAACGTCCACCCCATCCAATAGGCACCTTTCTCCGTCCTCTCCGGGCGCACCCTTGGCTAACCTCCTATTAGTAGCCAGTAGTTCGTGAACCCGGAGGTTCGGCGGTACCGAGAACTTCGTTCCTTTCTTCGACAGGCTAGAAATTCGTTCAGGTAGCTCCACGTTGTCTGGCAAATGAAGCTCGGCTGGATCGGCAGGTACCCTCCTGGGTTTCTTCGGCAAAAAGTTTAGTGTGCATCGCCACCAAAACCCTGTTGTCTGGGCGATTACTCGATGATATCTTTTTAATATGTGATGAGCGTACCACCCCGTGTCCACCTTGAAGCACTTTGCTCGTAGACAGTCTTGCAGAAACCTGATTTGCCTCCAAACTTCAGATTTACAGATCCGGCATACCCTCTTCGAATGGCCCATTGAAGGCTTGACTGTTCCGAACAAGGCTTGCACTTCAAAATGAACTACTCCGCTGTTGATGCAGAAAGCAAAATATCTTGCGTAGCACGTAGCAGAGGCAATGTGTGCGACTAGTAGTAGCGGCTCCGTGTTAGAAATATTAGAACAGAAAGCAGGGCCCACTATAGAAAAAATGAAACTTGAAAGTACTTGTTGTTGGGCTAGTTGGTTCGTCACACTGAGGGGTAATTCTAGACACCCAAGGCACCACAGGAAGAAATAAGCACAGAGAAAGAGCGTCAACTCGCAACTGATTTATTAGAGAAACGCAGGAAATATATAGCCGCACACGCATGTGCAGAGCACACTACTTCACCTAGTCACATGACCACAGACATAAGCTGAGGACGTACCAAATCAGACTCAGACTTGCGCAAGACAACTGACGTGTCACTTATACACAAGTCACCTTTTTTATTTATCCAGAAACGCTTCCATTATTTCACGGGCCAGAGCATCTGGGCTTTTGGCGAGGACAGAAAACGCTTGAAAACCTCGCCTCACAAGAACAGGAACGGCAATGCGCAGGCAAATGTGCTCCGGAATTATTTCGAATAGAACGCTCATGTTCCCTAATTCTCACGTTCAAACACCGCCCAGTTTGGCCGATGTAAACCCGGCCACAACTAAGTGGGATTAAGTACACCACACCCACTACGCAAACCACATACATCGAAACGTGTATTTTTCCACAGGTGGAGGCGCTCGGTGTTTTAGATATACGTGGGCATAGGCCCGCCAGCTTTCGTGGCGCATAAAGAAGAACAGACACATTGTACCTGCTCGCCACGTTCTTAAGGTTGTGCACTACCTTATGAACATATGGAACAACCATAGGTCGTTTATCCCTCGGCTGCCTGCAGTTTGCCCTTGAACT